TTACTAGAATCAGATACAACCCTATCACCAGTGAAATAACTGAGAGCTTAAAGTTCTCTCTGCTAAGTAAATGTTTTACATTTAAAGGGAATTTGTATAAACAGACAAATGGTACTGCGATGGGTTCACTAGTTTCTTCAATAGTCGCTGTTCTTTTTATGAATACATTTGAAGATAAAATCTTTTCAAACATACTCACGCCTGATATATGGCTGAGATACGTTGATGACGAGATCTACACAGTTCATTCTTGGAAAAACTGAGCAATCTACTCAACAGCATCCAGTTTACTTCGGAAGCAGAATCAGACTTCGTTGGACTACCATTTCTAGACTGCCTAGTTAAGAGGATGGAAAACGGATATTTTAATATATATATCCATATTCAGGAAGAAAACACAATCAAACAAATATTTAGACTGTGGGTTATCACACCCCATCAACACAAAGGTATCAGTTGTTTCAAGTCTTCTTAGACCAGCACACTCTTTGATGTTAATGGATGAGAAGGAAAAGGAAGAAGAAATATCAAGCATCATTGAGATTCTCAAGAAAAATGACTACTCAGAGAACTTCATCAACAAAACCAACACCAACGTTAAATATGGACGAAAACATATTCCGAAAACACGGACCGCAAAACAGTTGTCATTCTACATAGATCAGAAACGTCAGATGATATCAGAAGAGTACTCAATAAACACAACATAAGAGTTTTGCTTCAAAACATTGAGATGAATATGTACATGCTGAAAATACTTTGCATAGACGGTGTTCAGCTGATGATGCACTTTCCCAGACAGGTATTACAGTAAGTTTGTCAGTAGCATTTCTGTTAAGGTCAGTTGATACTTTTAAGCCCTGCTCATTTCGATGAAAATTTGGCAAGCAGTGGACAATATAGTCAGAAGTAATCCATCAACCACAATTAATTACACCAGCACCATTATGAGTTTAGTTGTTTAGTAGCCAAAAAGGTTTACGTATGCTGGCTAGTAGTCCAGCTGTATAATACTTCGTCTTACATATTAATACGACATGGAAATCTAGAAATAATAAGAATGCAAATAACTGTAAGTATGTTTGGAATAATGGCAGTGCAGTCGTTGGTCAATAAACTCGTGTACGCAGACACGAATGTAACACAGTCAAAGTTTTGGCGAGAGAGACATCTTCATTTTTCAAAAGAACGGACATGGAACAAAGAGTACTCTTTTCGATAAATTCATCATCAGGTTCTACAATTATATATACATTATAATGAACTTGAACTTGAACACAGAGCACTGGTTGTTTGAGGTGAATTGCAATAGCCTCTGCTGTTTGGAGCATGCGGTGCTTCGATGATTTTGGTAATTTGTTAGGCACCCGGTAGATGATAGAGAAGGATTCTTACACGCTGACTTTGTGGCCGGCCGGTTTGCACCAGATGATCTAATATCGAGCTGTTAACTACACCTTTACTTAGCCATAGTTGGTTATGTTCTCGAGCACGAAAAATTAAGTTCCTAGAGCAACGGCCAATGTAACTCGCTCCACAAGCGCAGTTGAATCGATAGATACAATTTTGATGGTACTCCTATCAGAACCATTATCACAAAGAATAAAGGTATCATCCATATATCGGCAATAAAATGAGAGCTTACTGATAAGGTTGTTCAGAGGTCCATTTTCTAGCTTCCTTAGAAAGAAATCTTCATTTTTGCTTATTAAAATTTAAGTTTTACAAGTATTTATATATTTCTGAAGTTAGAGTGCAGTCACACTTCAAATACCACCGTCAGCGAGATGTTTATTCTCGTTCTGCGCCACAAGTCTCTTCTCTTTTCAGAAAATATTCTGTTAACCATACACAAAACGTTGGCTTCCCAGGCTGACCTTGGACAAATTATCACCAATAAAGGGTTATCCATTGTTTATGTAGCCACAAATCACCTCCCTCTTTAGAAAAGACGTATTACTTGGAGTCAGCCTGGAACCACACTGTCTATTTTCTGCACCTGGTTGAACGAAGCCTAGCAAGTGGTCTGCTGTTTAGTGGAAGGTCTGGAGCATTTGTGGCCTCCTCCCCATCAGAGCACGAGGATCTGTGGCACTCACGACAACTTGTTTTTCAAGAAGGTACAGTCTGGCATCACCTTTTGGTTATGAAGCACCTGGCTCAGGTCTCTTTGCTTGGAAAACAGGTGAAGCGTCATCTGGGGGAAGTAGAATCTGAACACTGATGAATTTTCGGTGGGGAAGGTGCTGATTAAGAACAGCGTCTACGGCGACTTGTCGAGAATGACCGTTGTGAGTGCCTTGCGTGAGTGCGTGAGTGTGTGTTGCTGGCTAAAACCATCTTTGTTGCTTATACAGACAAGGTTTGACGGAATGGCAAGCACCACAATGCTAGCGGGAAAATGGAGGTCTCACCTTTGAGCGTTGATCGCCATTGAGTAAGTGACTGAAATGATGGATGTTTGAGATAGGACCAGGTGTTGTAGGGGCAGAGGTTTTCGGGATGACTTTGGCGTACAGACTGGACTAAACAGGCTGTTCGAAAATATTGTACAACCTGGTCTCCAAAAACCACCGAACTATCGACGCATCGAAGACCATATAGTTAAGTGTCTTCTTTGTAAACTTCACTCTCCCATTTTTGTATAGAAATACCCAATTCAAGTATACACCTATTCCTTCTTGCACTTTGCATGCTCAACAAATGAGGACAAACACTGCCAATATTTCAACATCCATCCAGCTGAACCTTGCTTGATATTAGCATAACTGACTGAAATATTTTCCTGTGATAAAAGCCCCCCGCCCCCGTCATACAAGGCAATGCATTTTAATGAAACTTTGTTTGAAACTGCTCAGTGTGGAAATTGTGACAGTGTTATACGTCAGTGTAGAGTGAAATCTTAGCATATGTCCACCAAATTTCATCAGACAATCATAAGTTCGTCTTCCAATCAATGAATAGTCCGCATCACTGGATATCTTGGGCATTCGAAAATCTGTCGACTCTGTTTCACATTAACTCACTATGGGTCAATGGTGCACCAGTTGCCTAACCTTCTAAGATCTCTATAACTTAATAGTATTGAAAGTCTGGTGAATAAAACATTGGACAGAAAATTAGGAAAATTGAGGAAATTCAATTTAATGAATAATACAGCCTCTAAATACTTTGATCAGACACTATTTAGTAACTAGTGTCATACGTCTAGTCCTTTATTCGGTGTAGACTGAGTTCTACTATCAATCTGGTCTGCAATGTGACCGCTATTCTCGGCGGCTTGCTATGACGCTACACTCTGAATTGTTATTACTAGGTAGTTGGAGGCAATCGGCAGGTAACGTCTCTATCTGCAACACTAGGTGAACACGGGTCCGAATCTTGGAAAGGCCACGAGTTCTTTCAAAATCGAAGGTACACCTTGCTGACTGGTGAATGCCAACTAGCGAAAAATCGAGGTCTAAGATTTCCTACCGACTGCCTCCAAACATCTAATACCAACAGTGCTGGACAGATTTTATTTCTCTGGCCAGTGTTTCATTTTACCTGAAGACAAGGAGAATTTTATAAAATTTATTCAGTGTATATACAGAATGCATCAGAGGATATGTGTGTTTCAGCCTTACGCAGTAATTGAATTTGCCTATCCACTTGTCTGTAGTCAGGAGAAAGAACATATTTCTCGAGAGAAATAAAACCGATGAGACAGTTAAGACTGCCCAGTCACACATCTAACATGAGAATCCTTGATTATTTTCAAACAGTGAGATTTAAATAATGCTGTGTGTTATTTCTAACAGCGGTTTCCTTCTACTACGGTAAAAGCCACTACAATCTGATAGAGTTGCTGTATATCACAAATGGTTCACAAGTTCACCTCGTAACCCGAGCTCCCCGGGTACGTACTACTGAAGAGTCGCAATGAAGGACGAAACAGCTGTCCAGTACTCCCAGCTGGTCTCAAGTGGTTCTCGAACTGATGTCAGCTCATGATGAAACCTGGAACCAATTAAATCACTGCACTCCAATACCTGATAAATTAAAATCAGTCACTAATGCCCAAATTTCCGCTGGCATGCCTTGTTGATATCACTAAATACTTACTACAAAAATCCATTTGAAATTGTCAATTTTTTAGAATCATATTTTTCTTGTTATGTTTTTCAAAAAAACCAAAAAAAAAGGAATACATTAGATAAAATGGTATCGGCCACATAGTGTGCGGTGGGGAAAAATTATGCACACATTGTGTGTTTATTATTCTAGTCCAATCAGGTGTTGGGGTAGGGATTTGTTAATTTTTATCTGTATTGTCATAGTCAGCCTCAAACCAATCCCTTGTTTCGATGATAGGTGCTTGTGTGCTTACGCCAGTGTTTGTGCACTAGTGAGTAAATATATATACTAGCGATTATCTGTGTATGTGTGTATGCGTGTGTGTGCATTGCACACAAATGTCTATGCACGAATTAGATGTATTTTACTCGAGTTATATATTGTGTACTAATGTTCAATCAGATTGCATTATCCATTATGATTATAACAATAAGTATACTTCTACGCAAGGTCATTATATTAAAGAATAATAATAATAATCCTAATAATATTCACACCATCCTTGACCCTAGTGTTTGTCTTCATAGTGGTGTTACACTTTGTATATATGCCCACAGTTAATTACCTGAAAAGATCACGGTGGTGAGAGTAACACCTTCAGAACTGCTAATTTATCACCTCTCTTTATCCCTCTGTGTGCACACATGATGGAAGGATACAGCTCTTGGATAGTAATTTCACACGGGTAACTGATCTCCCGCCAAAGTTTAGCAACAACGACGACACCAGTCAAAAAATAACCATCAGCATATTCATTACGTGTTACTAGGAAAAATAAACAATTTTATGTTATGCAACCTTTTTGTTGGTGGTGGAAAACTTACCAGGCTACAAAGCATTCATCATTACTGAAAATCCTACTAAATGTGGTGTTTTGAAAAGCGATGTGTATTTTCTCATGTGGACTTTTGATTACAGTAATCCAGTTAATCTATGCACGTGTAAAAGTATACGCACTACTTCACTCGAATACTTTTTATTATTGCTACCTCAGAAATTCACTTGATCTACAAACTATAAAATCCAAGAATCATCATGATTTATGCACCGACATACTTCAGTGTAACGGATATGCAATGTATCGACTCAGTGAACAAAACTATAAAGTAAGACAACGTGTTTACTCCCTTCCGACTGTTGCAAACAAATGTAACATTTCATTATTTCTCAGTGTAAAACTATGGCATAAATATCCAGTTTATATCAAAAATGTAATGCTTTTAATGTGTGGATTATATTTCTATGTATTTATCAGAAGTCTTCACTGTTATTTTAAGTTTACATCAGATAGAAGTGATCACTTGTCAAAGAACAGTCATTATAGTGTGGACAGGTCTCAGCGGTCATCTCTCCTAGGACACAATAGAAGGCAACAATCCAAAGACATTCCACAGAGATGTTTTTTACCTCTTGTTAAGCTATCAGCATTGTATGCAGCATTTATTAACTGTGCTCATAAGAAAATTAACTGTTTCAGCAGTGAATTCAACTGCTCACAGAGCACAACCACCGCGTTATCACCAGCAGCATACTCAGCATACTCATGCAGCAGTCACCGAATACTTCTTATGAAAGTTGTTTATTCTATTCTAAATAAATTTCACTGCATAACATCACTGCGTCCGTATGAAACACTGAAGTCGATCTTAGTACACACGAAACATTGTATTGTAACCTCTGAAGTATTAAACAGCACACTAATCAATGGAATTCGCAAATTTTTTCGATTATACAATTATTGGAAATGTTTGTACAAGAAGTATTCAAGATTTCGAACAAAACGAAGAAGGCGAAGGAGGCGAAGAAAAAGAAGCAAATGTGATGATCAAGTTTACCTGACCAATTCCACTAACTGTAATCATCAGTGCTTCTCAATTCTTTCACAGTTCTACTTATTATTTATGATAATCAATTCGGTTTTCTGTATATCTAAATATTCAAAACAGAACAATCTTCCATTGTTAGTCAAAGATTTTGATGATTTGTCACTACGGTTTAACAATTCATCGAATGATATTATTCACAACACATATAATTATCAAGCACGTACTATATATCACTTTAAACCTCCAGACGAGAAACGACCGTGTCGATATCGTTTTCGTGATGACGCGGAGACTAGCGCGCTATTGGCTGACTATGTTATTGTAGGTCAACCGGTTCAAACTTATCGTAGAAGATTTGGTCCATTATATAATGTTAGCCTGATGGTAACTCATATTCTTAAATCTGTACAGCACAGTATTTTCCCAGTTCGTGAAAATCATTTATTACGTGTTGGACAGTTTAGTATTTTTCCTGATCCTGGCCGGTGTTGGATTAATGTACACAGAAATAAAAAGTATATATTTTTCTTACGTCAACCGGATTGGTCAGGATTTTGTAAAATAACCCAATTACCACTTGAGTATACCAAACAAGCCTATCGAGCTGTAAAAGAAATCATGAGACTTGGAGGTAAGTAGATCAAATGAACAGTTGATTATTTAAATCTTCCTTTAATTATATTGACTTTATTTCTTATGTTCGCTTTGCATGCACACACGTTTTCCCGGTTTCACTAATTGTCCCTTGTCTTTTCTTAAGCTAAAAATTAATCTCAACTCATCGACATAACAGTCATTTTGTTATATGCAAAGTCCTTATCTAAATAATCCAACACTTTGGACGTCACTGTGTCCTCTATATTCGATAGTCTGATTACGAAGCTTTCATTGTCCATTTGGACAATATATCTTCAGTGCTAAATTCACCGGGAGACGGGGTGGGGTTAACGCTGAAGATGTCGTCTAGGAAGATAATGAAAGCTTCTCCAGTAACACTGAAAATATCCATCTGAGTTATAATTCCTATCCATCATTCTAAAATAAACGTTTACCTGATCACTTTCATGTTTGACTGTTTTTGCATTGATAAAAAAATTTGGCGGCTTTTTCACTTTCAGTGGGTTCAGTACATGTTTCAATAAAAATGCAACATAATGAATGCACTTGAATGTTCTGTGTTTATCAAGCACTTAGCACTCGGCACCAAATGCAAAACCATCCGTAAATAATAATCCAAATGACTTTATTTTATTTTATTTGTGCAGTTACTTATAAGTAGTCACGTGTTTCGCTTCTATCTTTTTATCAGTGTTTATTTCTATTGGAAAGTGGCCACCGACAGTGAATCTAAAAGACATCTGCTATCTGTTTCAGTAAAACACCCTATATTATAAGTCTAACCTACGTGTATATCCGACTAATAAGGATGCGGCATTCACGAAAAGGCAGTGAAGACAAAAGGATTTACTAACTGTTAGGTCAGTAGAAAGATTTAAGAAAAATAATTTCGAAATACAAAGTAACACCTATGGATAACTTGTGTAATGCATAAAACTCGTGTTTCTGCTGAATTTCGTGGACACCTATGCACTTAAAAAAGTGTATAGTTTTGAGACTAAAATGCTAACAAGTTTTTCATTCTAAAAACAACAGTTCTTTAAATCCCAGGGAAATACTTGACGGCCAATGAGTAATGGTAACCGTATCTTGTGCAAAAATGGTATTAAGTGTTATTCATTGGAACTGTCGAAATCTCCCTGTTGGTTGATTTCACCGCCTTGAAATGCTTGGTCTTCGTCAGTATAATCAACCAACCAACGGCTAGTCTCAAGGCATGATCGAAAGGTCTGTACTAAGAGTCGACATGCCAAAGGAGACTGAAGATTTTAGCCTAACCACTGGGGATTTCTAAAGTTTCAATAAATTCCCTTTATTAAGTATTGCATAATACTCAAAGGAACTCACCGGATTTGAGCGTGCCTTGTTCGCATACAATTAGGTATCATCGCAGATTACTTCTGTGTTGCAGTTTTGCAGGAGAACTAAATGTGTAAAGTCAGGTAATCTACTCACAAGGATATTTCACAAAATGCATCAAAAAACCGGAAATTTCGTTGTATCCTAAAATAGCACAGCTGAAATTATCATCATCAGAATCCTGAGAAATTCCTCTGCCATTGTATTCTGTGTTTTTCTGGATTAGGAAACATTTTTACCAATTTCAGTTGTGTATTTTTCATGATGCCTCTGGTGAATAGTAAGAATAATGTGTTTATTCAAAAACAGCACCTTTGTCACAAATGTGGAATTTTCAGCATGTTGTACAGTTTTGCACCTGATTTTCTCAACACCAGGGTAACAATTAAAATAGGGCATCAACATTGATAATATTGTTGAATAAGACTATGAATACAATATTGAATTTAAGTGAAAATATCAGCAGCAGTTTACAGTTTAAAATTTATTTAGGATAGTAGGCTATATGCCTGTGTTAATCCTTTCGATTTGTGACACACAGGAGGTCGAATCTCGCCTTGAATGAATCAACAGATGGCGCAGATACGACGTGTTCCGGTAGGGAGTTCCAATGGTTCACAATCCGATGCGAAAAACGGATCTCCAAACGCGGACGATTCGACCGTGGTTTCTGAACCTTGAGATGATGTCCTCGCAATTGATTGGTGCTAGAAGGAAGAAATAAATTAGATAAATTTGCTCCAAAATCATTTCTCAGGATACGGTATGTTGATATTAGATCACTCCTAAGTCGTCTGTATGACAGTGGAAATAAACCCAGTCGACTTAACCTCTCTTCATATGAGAGGGTTGAGAAACATAACAATGAAAGGAACAATAAAACAGGCTGTTTACTCAGTGACATTCGATAAGTTAGTGGTGTCTAGTGCCTAGCACTTTCCTCATCACATTAAAATATATGCTAAATAAGGTATTGTAGAGTTTTTATGCTTAGTCGCTCGAGCATACAGTCTTCTATAGTTGCTTCTACTTCTACCCGATGAGATGCAGCAAGGAGAGAATTGTGTGTAGAGAGGATGCTCAGAGTCCGACAAGATAATATTAGCTAAATTCTTGCACGAGTCCATGTGTCTATTCTCAATAGTATTAACAAGTTGATTTGGCGACACACCACTCACTAGCCCCACTGACAGCTTTCAGTGCCCTATGTAGTGTAACAAAGTCTTTCTTAAGTACCCCAGGAAAGATTAAGTGAGAGCAATAAGGAAGGATAGGTAGAATACGAGAGACTGAGTGATGTCAGACTGTCACAGTAAAATATAGCCATTTTTAACAAGTGTATTCATCACTTGCTTACACTGAGTCTATCTATCAGATCTCAATAATCATTTATTATCTAATTAAAATGTAATCTGTTATATTACCGATCGCAGTGATAAGTGACTCTGCTACTAGCCTTATAATCTTTAATGAACTGCATAAACATTTCCTGTCACTGGTATAACATCCACTCTGTCAGACAATTTCAATGTTCACCACATATGTATCGCCTTTAAATGTAAACATCTTTCATTTTCAAGTTTGATACCGGTTCACTTTGGAGGTAGTAGTGTTTCATGGTCATCTAGTAATTTTAATTGACTAAGTAAACATCTCGGTCGGTCGGTCGGTGGGTTTTCGACATAGAACTTTGCACATATGTGCGGCAGTTCAAGTCGCCACACTCCATGTAGCACACAAAGCAAGAGAAGAAGGTAGGAGAAATGCATAATATAGTCAGTAAACAGAGGTGAGACAAAGGAATAGTAATAACGGAGAACAAAACAGTTTCATTGGAAATCATAAGTCACAAGGAGTGGATGCATCTGCACCACTGAGAACGATTTTCAGCCATGTCACCAATTGCCTCCAGCCCTTGATTGGTTTTTACCGTCCCGAGGACCCCAACCAGGAAGTCTACATCTTCCTACGTGGCTTAGACTAACTGTTGTGCATTTCATTGACTAGTGCCATGTTTTGGTTTGACCGCCGCTAGCTCTTTTCCAGCCTGGCCCTATATCAGCTAACATTGCCCATTGTCGAGGAAGGCGATGACTAGGCATACGTAACACATGTCCTAACCATCTCAGTCGAAGTAATTTCACAGTCTCGTCGATTGATTTCCCCGCCTTACCTAGCACTCGAATGAAGCCTAACCTCAATATTGCTCACCTTATTATACCACTTCACATCTTGTAATTCTAGTCGAATGTGTACAACAATAAAGTTGTGAATGTGTTGGTCAGTTGACACTTGACTTGCAAATAGTGTCATCGTTTTGCTTTCCTTCCTTTTACTGGTGTACAAATTTATAAGGCAACTTTTATTTACCTCTGTGTGTTTATCCAGTTTAAATCAGTAATTAACATTATTACTATACAATATTAAGATTGATTGCGTAGAACAATTTATAATAGAAACATACAAGTGTGACTGTTGTTCATTTTCAGTTAATATTATTACTATTACTATTATTATTATTGTTAGTTCTGATGTTGTCTTGTGTACTCTGTAGACAATTTTTCTGTCTTTTTTGCTACACACAGGCCGGAATGTGTGTATCTTTGATCACTGCAGCAATACTGGTCAACAACACTATACGTCTCTAATTAGCTAAGTGACTATGAACTATCCAGTTTACCTTCCACTAATCAACTAATCAATACTCCTTGTTTTGCAACCAGAATTTTGACAATGCACTTACATTTGCAGGAGAAAAAAATAAAGTATGCATGATACCATTATTATTTATGTACATGTTTGCACGCATGTATGGTAGATACATGTGTGGTGCTTTACTGTGCTGAAATATAGTCATGTTAGCTAGGATTACTGTTTTTATTTGTAGCCTGCCTTGTATCACACAGCGGCTTTTGTTCACTAAGCAACCTCTGATTGTTAAAACAACACGTTGGTATGTAGCCTGTTAAAACGAGTAACATTAAAACGGGAATTCTAGTTGTTGTTCTGTCTTTCTCCGACCTTTGTACGCATATCAACTAATAAATTTTATTCACTTTACATGAAATGGTGTGCAGAAATACATAAAACTATGTTTTGAAGTGTTTTGTAAAAAGGCCTAAATGAACTTAATCTCAAAAGATTTTTGTATGTTTATATAACAGACTGAGCAGAATTTCAAGTTTCATAGTACAATGGTAAAAGCCAGAAGTATTTGGCAGCGGAATTTTTAAATGCGTAGTTGGTATGATGATATAGGTATCAGAATCACAATTTCTACAAATCTTCCGTATTGTGTTTTCCATGCTGTTTCACAAGCATCGTTCACATTTATTCTCGTCCCCATTAAATCCATCTCGCCAGTATTCCATATTCTTGCATATGATATGCATATTTACAACCATATCTACACACTACTTATAAATGTTGTCAGTAACGCTCGTCACATTAGTATTCCCAGTGAATGATAAAGTAGTGTAGAGAATAAGTCATCTAAGTCATGTGCTTGTGAATTCCTTATAAAAAGACAAGCTGTTAAAGTAGATATACTCTAGAAACTGTCACTCAACAAGCGGATTTGACATTTTCAGAGATAATATCTAATTTTGTTTCTCCATGGATATTTAAGTCATTTCGTGCCTGATTTCATTAAAG